TATTTCTTAACACATTTTTTGTTTTATTAAGAAATACTCAGTATTTACTGAGTTATAGTAAATTAAAGATGCATTTTATTGACTCGCGATTTAAACACTCCGGAAACATCCGAGCGAACCCGAACATGCTCATGACGTCATAGGGTATATGCCGAAGTATAACGCATACTAAAGTACGTGTAATGTGTTTCTGATCGTGCTATAATTATTTGTATGTGCGATTAAAATACAAAATGAGTACTGGGAAGAGATATCGGTGGTGTTTTGTGCCCATGTGCAAAAATACGGCATTAAATTCACCGCATAAAGTTTTTGTGTCAGTACCACGGAATGAACGTATCCCAGTGAGAAATGATTCGTCGATCGACGTCGAAATGATGTCGAATCGCCGTCAATTCGACGGTGTCGATGTCGATTCGACGTCGTTTCGACATCGATCGACGAATCATTTCTCACTGGGATACGAAGATTATGGTTTCGAGCAGTCCGTCGTCCTGATGAACCGTCACTGTCAAATTATTATTGTTGTGAGGATCATTTTGATGTAAGTACTAAGATAAGTAAAGTGCTTAAAAGTGACAAGCTTTCCTTGATCAAGGAAAAGGTTTTAACCACAAAATGATCCTCACAACAATAATAATTTGACAGTGACGGTTCATCTGGACGACGGACTGCTCGAAACCATAATCTTCGTATACGTTCATTCCGTGGTACTGACACAAAAACTTTATGCGGTGAATTTAATGCCGTATTTTTGCACATGGGCACAAAACACCACCGATATCTCTTTCCAGTACTCATTTTGTATTTTAATCGCACATACAAATAATTATAGCACGATCAGAAACACATTACACGTACTTTAGTATGCGTTATACTTCGGCATATACCCTATGACGTCATGAGCATGTTCGGGTTCGCTCGGATGTTTCCGGAGTGTTTGAATCGCGAGTCAATAAAATGCATCTTTAATTTACTATAAATATTGAGTATTTCTTAATAAAACAAAAAATGTGTTAAGAAATATATACATACAGTAGAACGACAAGGTTGATCTAAAATTACTTTAAGACCCTATTACCGACACTTTTCTACTCGTTTTCCATTAGCAAACATTATTTTCCGTTAGTCCAGGCCGAGGATTTTAGCAGCCCGGGCGAAATTTCCCACCTCCATTGGATCCTTCGCGAAACGTACCTCGTCCGTTCGCGGGGTCACTCTATTTTCCAGAAGAACCTCGAGATGCTTCATGCACTCCCCTTCGTCCTTTGCGCGGCCACTTTCTCCGCCACGTTTCACATTCTTCGTTATGTTTGACTCCACTTTCCCATTCTCCCGTATTTTCCGTCTTATCTTCCTGGCCAGAGCCATCTCGACCAGCTCCTCCCACTCGATAATGTCCTGAATCGGTTTCGTGCATCTTTGGTGACCCGGCCGACTCCGCTTCGAGATCTTCTTCGAGTTATTGGTCCAGCTACTTTTGAAACCGAACATCCGGAACCCATTGTCCGCGCTCGGTATCCTCTGCTCTATTTCCGCCGTGATCCTATGCCACTTGCGTTCCTTTGGCTTCCTGATAACGTTACTGTCGTCCCAGCCTTTCTCCATCCTCTTGATTCTCTCGTCCGCGCATCCTACACGCAGAGTGTCCGCCCAGTTCTCCCTTTTGAAACTTTTGTCAGCTCGCAATGACGAGCACTGATTGCGCCTGTGAGACCCTCTGAATCTTTCTTTGGCATCGGATTTGACGCTCGACGATCGTTCGAGGCCGCGATTCGTGTTGACCAGTCGACTTTCCGGACAGCCGTTTTGCCCGATCTCGGAGGAGTGCATGCTGTCGCTGTCGCTGCACTCCCATGAGCTCGTGCTATTTCTGCTGTGCTTCCTGTCGAGGACAACGCCATTGCTCGAAACGCTGAACTCGTGCTGCTTCGAGAAGTCCTGCGCCGGTGACTTCGGGGCCTTTTGCGAGGGAAGGCCTTGACGATTGTTGTGCTTAGCTATACCACTGGCGTGAGCCTTACCTCTGCACGATCTGTGAAGAAGATGATGCGCATCAAGCGACATATTGTCGAGCTCGTCCCTGCTACGCGGCATCTTCTCGGTCTCTCTTCACAGAGGTGGGTTTCACGTTGTCACTTTCGCAACGCAATTATCACTAATTCTGACGAGACTTCTCTCATGTAGTCTGCGGGCTTTCTTCAAGTTTGCCTGGGAATTCACGCGTACAGAATTCTTCATTAACCGTTGAAAGCCGAAAATTTCCTCATCGCTCAGCGCAACAACGTCAGATCATTTCTTGCATGTAAATTGTTTGGTAATCATGATACTTCGTTATACCGCATGCGTTAATTGGTATTCATTTGTTATTGGTGCACCAGCATTTTTCTATTGGTTCCACATTTTTTTCCTACATTTACGACAATCGAAGGCACCGATCACTCAGTTTCCACTCGCGACACATCTCTAAAAGCAGTCCTCGAGCGCCGTCATCGAGCTCGATTAAAATGTATTAATCCACAGAGATGCAAATGTCAATTCCCCGGCACGTTTCCTGCGGTGCTCGTTTCGATGCGTTTCGACAAACGGCTCGTATCCGCGAGAACTGAGACGCGGCTTCCTCCAGGAGGTCCTCTCATGACTCGAGACGGCGGCGACGGTCACGAGGGCAGGACCCGATCACGAGGAGCATCACGGGGGTCTCCCGAGTGTCGACTGAAGCAACGCTGGTGCTCCGAGACAGAGACAGGTCCTCTCGTTGAGGAGAACCGAGGAGAACGAGAGAGGCGTGTGCCCACGAGAGCCGCCCGGGAGTTCTTTCTCTCCATCACGAAACGTAATTCTCCCGCTCGCTCTCCACGTACCTCCGTCCTCGTCTCCCGCTTCCGTCGCGCGAATGTCCCCTCTCTGTCCCCCTATCGGTCCGGCCGACCATACGCTCGGCTTCGGTTACTTCAACGTCCTTCCTCCGCGATTTGCACGGATGACAAACAGTCGGCTAGTAGGCCGATCCGATTCCGCGGCGATTGCGGGCCCAAGATTTGCGATCGGCGCAAATTCGACGGATAGGCCCGGGCGGGATGACTCGCCGTCTAGAATCGCGTTTTTACGTCGTTTGGAGCGTTTTGGTTAAAAGGAATTTAAGCACAAGTTTCGCCGTCCTCAACACGAAATATCCAACGCCACAATGTTGCATTAACGATTGAAAATTGATTGGAATGTTTTAATATAATACCTTCGTCCGGTTGATCTACATAAATCTAGTTTGAAGCTAATGATATAGACGCATTCTGAAATTAAATGGCAAGCTTCCTCTCAGAGGCCATGGAACCCAACCTACGGAAGCGTAACGTGAGTGCAAGCAAGAATCGCTTCTGAGAAATACTCGACTCGATCGTTCGCTTCAAATATACGTGGCTGCCGTTTACAGTGCGAAGCTCTCGCGCTTTCGAAAGCTTCGCGCGTGAAGCGGAGGAAATGCCGGGAGCAGGATAGAAGTGTTTATATATAGCTTTCCTCAGAAGGGAGTTCTGGCAGGCACGGGGGAAATGTATTATTTAAGCGACTCTCCGTCCCGATCTTGCCTCTCGGCGTGAAAACTGCGTAACGAGCGTTCTTATTTTAATAGTCTCGTACACTCTGCGTCTCGCATTTCTGCGTTTTCTAAAGATACGTTCCGCTCGGTTGCCCTCGGCAGCCTTTTTTTCCCAATTCAAGTTTTACAGTCCCCGCAGCCATGTCCGATAGAATCACATCGCCGTCGCGACGTCTTCATTTTGTACACGATTACGGCGCGGCGATAAGAAAATCGTGCCTCTCAAGCCCGAGGAAAACGTTTGCGGATTGGTCACGTGCGGTGGCATCGAAGCGACGTCTCGGTGCGTGCACCGCACGTGCTGTCGAGAGAGGCGCGCTCGTGAAGATTCGAGGGAGCACCGGGCTGGCTATTTTAAGAAACTCGTAACACGCGAGATTGCGTCCTACCAAAGAGAGTTACCCGACGGGCGGACATTGCCGCAAACATGCGCCTGTACAGAGAGACGTATTATAACGGTGCGGCCGGTGTTTAGCTCTTTGCGGTCCGAATATCACCGTCGCGGCCATGTTGGTAGCGAGAAACGGCAGCGGCGTTTCTCGATGTACGACAATTCGCACCGCGTATCGGCGGCAATATCCAAAAATATGCAGTATGATGGCGTATGTCGACTGCAACGAGGTAACCGATGACCCAGATGGCACGAAGGTGAACGTAAGTTCACGAAGAATTTATTTCAAAGAATGCCTGCAGAATGAGAAAACGGAAGAATTCTTGAAGAATCAGCCACGATCAGTTCGTCTTGAAGTATTCAGAAGTTCATTATGCATGTATAACTTTCCCAATCGTTCTTATGGTTTTCTTCTATGAATTCCCGAAGAATTACAATTCAGAAAGACGGAAAACCTGAAGAATGCTTCACTCAAAAAATGGTCTTACTAACGCATGTAGATTTTTAGGGGTCACAAAAATGTATCGCTATTTTGTGTATCTGTTTGTAGCCTGCAAAATTTATAGCAGCAACATTCTAGCGATAACTTCTGAAAAGTTTAGGTTTCGTGACTAACAATAAATATTAATTATTCACATTGGATAAAAATAAATTGCTAGAACAATTTTTGTAAGGAATATAACTGTTTATGTGCCTCGATCAAACGTTATAATGGATGAGCGTCGCAGAAAGATTTTCTTCCCAACATTCGCTAACAGTTCGGATAGAAATTTGGTTTCTGTTATTCAAATTTACTAAATACAAAAAACATATGCGATTTCGCAATATTGACTGTTCATTTATATCTCAGTTATTTTTTCGCACCTAGAAAATTGTTGCTGCAGTTTGCAAGATCATTTTTTTAGTGTTTGCGAATTTACTGTGCTATCTGGGAAGGCAGCGCTCCCTGTTCTCTCATGGCGAATTCCAAGACTTGTTTACAGCCAATTCTTATATTTAAGGATCGTCTTAAATATCTCTTGAAATATTTAGCCAGTAAAATGATCCGTATAGCATCCATACGGACCATTTTGTGGCTAAACACTCTTCGAACATGTATTTAAAACAAAGTCAAATACTAACAATAATGGATTATATCGACGGTAACTGGCAAAATGTAATTAATTCACGACGTTTCGACCAGTAATACTGGTCCTTCTCAAGTGTCACCAATTAAATGTGACAGCAAGTAATCTACAAAAAAATTATTACATTATGTGAGCGAGAAAAACCACGAAGTTAAGTTTATAAGATATGAGTACGTAACAGTGTCGCTAAAACTTACAGGTGATGTGTTAGAGAGTGTGATTTTAAAAAGGTACATTGTCCAATAAAATGAAATCACTCTGCACAGTGAAGAATATGGAGTTAAAAAAGTTAAAAATTGAGCTAATAGTCAAAGTGTCAGGCACAGTCAACGTTTGATAGGACACTGAGAGCGTTACAATATAAAACCGTCTGCGTTCGTCCACAGAGGACGGGTAAATAACTAATATAAACATGTAAATAAATTAAGTGGCGCGTACAATCTTGTCATAAATTGAGCTAAGGTTGTCGGTATCTTGTTGTAAGTTGATCGTGTGTTTGAGAGGCTTCTTAATGTAGAACATTTCAGCAATTTCTCGTTTTTTAAAATGTGGCTCCTTGTGTAAAATTACCGGATTGTCCCAATCAAATTCGTGTCCGGTAATCTCACGACGCTTACTGAAATGTCAAATTTGACTGTAACGCACTCGGTGCGCAATAGTGCAAGCAATCTCGCTATTAGCTTTCCTCATATCGGATGAAATTCGTGGAGTAGGAGCCACTTGGAAGAGATAATACCATTCAAGGACATGTAGCGTTCGGTCGATTGTAAGGAAGGAGACAATTAATGTTCTATACGCGCCATCCTAGGCCTTAAGTTAGACCAGGCCGATGACGCACCGTTGTCATTGTTCGACAACGTGTGTATTCAATGAGACGAGGAACGTCGTGAATCGATCGCGACGTGGGTGGATTGCTACACGACAATTTCTCCGTTACATTTTGCCCGCGTGGGACGCGCCGGATCGATGAATTAGAAGCAGGTAGAAAAAAATGAATTTACATACACAGCAGCGTGCACCCCTGAGGCCAAATCTCTTAAAAGGAAGAGCGCTCTGGGAGCTAACTCGGGCTCGTCGTGGCTTGTAATGGCCTTAGCACGGGCTTTAGTTAAGACGATGTATCGATAACGATAAAAAGCCAGACACAAACAGTCGCGACGGCGCGATTCGCTTATGTGCATGCATAAATCGTTGGTATAATCGGAAAGGCTGAAATTAGCGACACGCAGAATGACGTAGGCACATCTGGTGAATGTCTCGCATAATACACGCCGTAATTAGCTTCAATTTTCAATCATCGGTACCGGAATATCGGCATTTTCACCGCGACAGACGTATCCGCCGATCGAGGATCGTTAGCGCGAAGCTTCTGCATAGTTGAGAAGCTTCCTGCCAAGAGCAGCTCCCGATCCGTACGGCTGTTTCTCACGGTGCCGCGATGTGCGAGCCGGGCTTCACGGTTACATTGTTCCGCGCGGCGACCCGCGCTATGCGCCTTTTTACGCCGCGCTCACGCTGGAGAACGGAACGACGAGGAGATAGGTGGAACAACTGGAATTAAAGTGTAGGTCGAAACGGCCGGTGATCCCCCTCGGTGCGGGCCGCCCGAGCGCATAACATACGCGACAAACAAGGCAAACCTGACTTGACGCGCCGCATTCAACGAACAATTGGATTTCAATAACCGTTACCTTCTAGCGTAACGCGACGCGGTTGCTGTCCTCTCGCGCTTCCGCGCCTCGCGTTACTGTCCCGAAGAGAACGGCGATTAATTTTGGGATTAATGATCATTTCGTACGGGATAAACGCCGCAAAGCTAAAGGCGACGATCAATTTCGCCGGTATTTTGCGCCCAAGGGTTATAAGGCTGGGCTTCGACGAGAAACTATCGAAAATACCGATAGAATCCACGGGGGAAGGTCGTTCGAGGCCGCGCCAGATTCTTGCGGAGAAGGAGAAAAAGAAATGAAATGGAAAACGAGTCCTTTAGTCGCTCACGCTGCGCGAATTGCTAAACCGACCTTGTGCGTTGTAGCGATTAACGTAGGCGTGGTTGCGGCCACTGAAGTTGTAAGTGGTGGATTTAAGAACGGTATCCATTTCGATGCGATATGGAGGAAAAGAAAGGACAACGTGCATTTCAAATTCCATAAAAGAAGTCCAGAAAAAGAAAAAGAGCACCTTTCCTGGGTCGAAATTTTTATCGATAGTCGCTTTTAGGTGGACAGACGAGATCCGGGGAAAAAAAACCGAGACAGCGGCAGAGTCCTAGCATTTGAGTGAAAATTGAATGTCGTTTTTGATGTGTGGGCAAAAAAATAAAAAAATTCGATGACTCACGGATTGACGGACAGACCGGATTGACTGGTACGACCATAGCAGACGCGAGTCGTAAATCTATAACAGCGCGCGTACTCGGGGCCGCACAGCGCGAGTAACATGCTTACATGAGCGCGTCTAAACCATCTTGATCTGATTTGAAACAAGCTCGCACAGAATCCATACATATATTCGTCACAGCCACTCGCTCTATATCACCGCTCCACTTTCTGAGCACCACTACAACATTGCTTATTAATTCCTAAGACTCTTCCCACGGAGCCGCGCGTTGTCAAATTCAAACTCGGCTCCGCGATACGCGGGTTCTATGCACAAGTAATCGTCTGTGAACATAAAGAATTTGTACTATTTGTACACGTAGTGAGAGATGCAAATTCCAGCGTTTATCACGCGGGAGAAGTTATAACGAGAAAAGACTCGAGACTAAAGCCAACGGCACACGATACTACTTTTCCTACTGGATTGCTTACGAGAGCCAATCAGGATTTAAGCCAACGGCACACGATACAATTTTTCCTACTGGATTGCTTACGAGAGCCAATCAGAATGCAGAGTTTTGGATCAGGTGACTTAAGGCTGAATCCTGATTGGCCCTCGTAAGCAAACCAGTAGGAAAAATAGTATCGTGTGCCGTTGGCTTTAGCTTTAAGTCACCTGATCTAAAGCCAACGGCACACGATACTATTTTTCCTACTGGATTCCTTACGAGAGCCAACCAGGATTCAGCTTTGAGTCACCTGATCGAAAACTCTGCGTCCTGATTGGCTCTCGTAAGCAATCCAGTAGGAAAAATAGTATCGTGTGCCGTTGGCTTAAAACTCTTAATCCTTATTGGATCTCGTAAGCAATCCAGTAAGAAAAATAGTATCGTGTGCCGTTAGCTTAAAGCCGACGGCGCACGATACTATTTTTCCTACTGGATTGCTTACGAGAGCCAATAAGAATGCAGGGTTTTTGATCAGGTGACTAGAGGCTAAACCCTGATTGGCTCTTGCAAGCAATCCAGTAGGAGAATAGTTCGTGTGCCGTTGACTTAATATTGTCCTTTCCAAGTTTCATTCAGAAAAATGAAAATGGTCGCGTTAACGCAAACGTCACGACGGGAATTAGCTCCTCGGTGAGGTAAAGGGAAACATCGGGAAGTACACGGTTTCCATACGGTGACGACGGTGACGGAGGACGGTGTCGGAGAGGCGCCAAGGATCAGCCGGACCGCGTAATGCGCGCGGCATCTCTCTCGCTTATCGCAATCGAGATGCCTCTCGCCACGAGCCGCTGACGGCGCGCGACAACGACGGAGAGTGTAAGCGCGTTAACGCCGTCTCGCGCATCAACGTGGGCGGATAAGAGGGCGGGGTGCGCGTACGCGTATGTACGTACGTGGACTCCCAAGCCACCACGATTACGTGCATAAAAT